CGTCAGAAAAACAGGCTAGGAGCTCCCACCGACTTTAAGTTCTGACAAGAACACACTAGAGCTGTAAAATAGGCCTCTGCCTGCAAAATAACTTCCAGGGGGTCTACACCAGACATTGATCGACTGAAAGAAACAGTTATAGAAAACGGAAACTATGCAGAACCACGGCCTAAGGCGAAACGACGACGTAACTGTTGTAGCCCAACTCTGAGTGCACGTTTCATCGCTGAGTCTCTCGCCTCTCGCGACTACTTAGGTGCGTACACCATTTCCCTCCAATCCGGGCTGCCCTAACTGGTCAATCGTTCTCAAGACGGACTCAAAGTTGACCGCACTGGAGACGCTGTGACGACTTCCCAGGAGCTCTCACTTGGGACACCGACCTCACGGCTCCAGACACGCGCTCCTTTGACCCTAAACTTCTTTCAACCTATTCTGCAGTAGCTCTGTGTAGAATACACTATTCCTCCCAGCTGGCATCCCACTTAGCACAGGAACCGGGCCTGAAGGTCGTGGTGCCTAGAGTCTTCCCCTAACAACTTCAACCACTGCGGTATGACCACGCGTCGTGCGGCTGGTAAAGCCAGCCGTGGAACGCGCATGCCAATCCAGGCAGCCAATAATTGTACGCTGCAATATCAAGCATGCATGATGCTTTTGTTTATGCATGCGGCGGATGGAACATCGATATCTTTCCGCAAGGGATTCTCACGCTAGTCAACGAGTGTCAAACAATGGACCGGAAAGTTCTGGAAAGCCCTTCACGGTTTGGCACGCGATAGGCCGAAATGTTTCAGTACGCCCGGGGCACCAAATAAATAAGGCGATGTTGGGATAAGATAAAAAAAACTTCGTCTGGCCTGGTTTGGTTTATTATTTCATAGCTATATAAAGTAATCCTTTTTTGTTAACTAATACGTCCATATAAAGACATGCACAAAGTTGTTTCATTGTGTTTTAAAAAATTCAAGGTCATTTTATGTATTGAGAGTGGTTTTTATTTATTTTAATATCACTCTCAACTTCTTTGCTGTATAGGCCTGGAATAATACATTTGGCGGGTATTTACTGATTCCTTATATTTTCTTGCATACATTTCCCTGCTTGCCTGCGGTGAGACTCCACTCTTAAAATACCCCATTACCACCATTCTAATTTTACACGACCCTGGGGGTTACATAACCTACCATTGCCGTGGTCTGTTGTACGAACCCAAGAGCTCAGACAACTAAAAGCTTCGTCCCAGTTAACCGAAACCTGATTATCCGAGGACTAGACAGTTTGATGAACGATTCCATCATTTGAAAAAACTAAAGACTTTCTCTAAATCTCTCTTAAGCCGCAGCTGTATTTCGGAAGGAGAAGTCATATAATTTAATGCTTTCGAACAACTAGTTATGGTGACCTATACAACAAGGGCTATATTCAGAGCAAATGACTGGAAGAGGCGATACAGCAAGGTGTGAAACCTTCTATGTCTAAAACCTAAAATCACACTTGCCTGAGGGGATCGACAAGCTGCGCAAAGGCTGGTAGGAACTATTCGGACCTATTAATTGTTCTTATGCATATGAACTACAAACTGACTTAACAATTAGTCTCACTTTCAGTATGAAACAAAAGGGAGATCTCTTTGTACCACTGATGCAAACTCACTACTGCGTGTGAACCTAAGATATATAATTCCACGCATATCTTTTAATGCACGTCAAACATGCCATGCCAGAAAAATATATCAAGACTGGTTATCGACGAAAATGGTAAAATCAAAAAGAAATACACGATGCCAACCTACCAGGGGGCCTACTGATCCCACCTAATGTAAATTAGAAGAGGCTTCAATTTCCACGGCATTGATTACTAAATCAATACATTTAGGGGCGCATCCTACCAAAGAGGGACCAGGCATAAAGCGGCCCACTTGGACAACATCTGTCGGCTTCTTGGAAGAACAGCTACCCTCAATTTTAATCCAAAAAATACTGAATGAACGCAAATTCCAAAATATGCCAAAAAGTTTCGGTCGGAGGCGAGAAAAATAGACAGAGTCTATTAGAAGAATGAAACGACAGGCCGACGTCAGCAAGAAGTCCAGCTGTTTAGCAGTGGATTTTGTCTTCAAAGAGTTAAAGAAACTAAACTGGCGAATAGTATTCCAAATGCCACAAAAAGCATACCGATTAAAGGATTGCCCGCCGCTGCGTCCAAAAAGGACTGTCGATGTTGCACCAGATCGAAAAAAGGGTAACACTTGATCGTGGCATACAGTAAGTGGGTTGGACTGAGCTTGCATGGATCTGAAACCATTACTGTACATGCATGCGATACGTGTTCGGCGGACTCTTCTCACGACGGCCACTGCATCCACACTCAAGATCGGTTTGTGGAGAAGCTCGTGCAAGCCGCTGCCGCATGGTACGGGGACGAGGTGATGAGGTAGCGAACGAGTAATTTCCCACTACACGAGGTAGCACGCTTTGATTCTAGTCCTATGCGCTAACACTCTTGGCTTAAAAGGTGACCAACTAATAGACTAACTCGACCTGACGCAAGACGGGGTCATACTGAAGTGCTTCCTTCCTAATGCGTGCCTTATAGCATCCTCACGTGCCTACTATCTGAGACCCCTGAATAACGCAAGTTCATGTGCGGCGCGCATAGACGAACCGTTTTATTTTGCCAGTCACTGCATCTAAACGCAATTTCGATCCTTCTCGACTTTGTCTAGTTACTGAAACGTGGTGGGTGTGACTAAATCGTCCTCACACTCATGCGAATGAATTTTCAGAACTTGAAAAGATTGTGTTTATTAGGTCGAAGAAGAGACTTCAAGGAAGGCGAGGTGGAAGAGGCGAAGAGGCTAAGGGGAGGGTTTATTTACCAGACTAAACCTCACACGAAATCGCAACCGTCTAAGGAAGATTCTATCGCCCTTTATCCCATAACAGGGATCGTAGATAACACTATACATTGATGCAGTTTAAAACTACACGATCACGCGTTATGCCGGAACGGCAATGACAGCAGCTCCATCATGATCCCTCGGATAAATTTGCCAAATGAAGTCAGAAGGACAGAAATCAGGACTTCTCAAAGCAAAGTAACAGGTTTTGTGCAACTAGGCAGTCTGGTGTCAGCGATAACGATAGATGAAATAAAAGAAAGATGTCAGTACGTCAGTTATTGGCCTGGAGGTAAGAAGAGATCTCTAAACGCGAGTCAGCAGGCACCCAGCAAACATACAGGTGGGATTCCAGATCGCTATTATCTTGGCAAGATTTTGGTGCATGCTTACTTTCGAAGAAACCGGGGTCCCTTCAAGGACAATTAGTCGCACAAACTTAAGTCTGACTGTGACTTGGTTCAGCGGTCTGGAGTTAAGTGGTTGAGACAGTGATCAATCTGCCAAGGTA